TATTTTTTTTGTGTGTCTATTCAATCATATTGTCAACACAAAACGTGTGCCACATATTTTGCTTATCTGATGTTTCAGACAAACCTAAATTTACGTGATTAAGTAGAATCATCTCTTAAGATATTTATTCTTTAATTGTTTGCAAACAAATATATAATAGCTAGGTTTGAAACCTTAGTAAGTATCACTTTTCCGAATAATGAAAAAATAATGAATAAAATAAACAACACCAAATTCTAAGTATAATGAATATAAAGAATTAATGAACTAGAAAAATTCCACCAAGGTTACAATAAACCAAATGAACGATGGTTAAACAGATTGAATGATTACTTTGTCACTTAAGATTTCAACTGACAAAAGCTTGCTGTTAATAACATGGCTAAATTATGTAAGAATTGAATAATTAATTTTGCAGCACCAATTTACCGCTGACAGTTCAAAATAAAATATTTAAACGCCAGACAAGTAAAAATGTTATACCTGTCAGAAAGTTGGCAAATTCAATTTCAATTCTCAAAATTGCAAAACACGGTAATAATAAGAGTTTCATATATTAATGACATTGTATTGCTATTTTATTACGTAAAAGCGGAAATGCTGTTCATTAGAAATCGAAATTACCAGCGATAATAATTATTTTGATTTCATTTTATGCAAAAAGGCGGATTAGCTTTATCATGTTAAGATAGACTTAAAAGACGCTAGACACGAATTACGTAATAAGCCGTAATCTGCTAGAAGCGAACCTGATTGGCCTTTGTCAACAGTATAGAACGAGGCTAGCCTGCACAACTGTGCAGACCCACTAGGCTCTACACTTTTGGTACTTATTGTTTTGTATTTTGATTAAAAAATCCCACCCCGAAGTTGTCAAACAATCTGTTCTATATCAAAATCAGGGCAAATCAATTACAAACAAGCATCAGGTAGTTCAACATCGACCAATGCTATAAACACTCAAATAATTACCCAATCCGTTTTAACCATTTTCAATATGTTAATATAAATAAGTAATTGATTATACAAATAAAATGTGCTAATTTGAAGTATTATTTTAACTAGCTAATGTTAATATTAATATAAATAGTTCTACTTCTTATTAAGTTAAAAAAAAAACAATAATATACAAGCCGAGACACTAGTGCAATCTATTTGAAAAGGCATTTTTTGTCAAAAATACTTCTTTTTATGTTTTATCTATTGCCAACAAAGTATGACTTTTGTGTTAGATATCTAACTTCTTTTTTCTAATTCTTAGATAAAGCTCTTATCTGAAAAATGGTCACCTTAGTTGGACGCCACTAAGCAACGTTCTCACATTTTGCCATTGTCTTTCTTCTTAAAGCATTATCTCGCTGGCGACAAAAGATTCTACCCATGCGACCAGTGCAGACAAAGATCAGCCGAAAGAACATTGTCTATACTGTTCGGTGACCAGTCATTGCACTTTTTGAAATATTCCCTTCATGTGATGAAATTTTCTGTGATCACCTTAGTTGGACGCAACTAAGCAACGTTCTCACATTTTGCCATTGTCTTTCTTCTTTAGGCATTACATTTTCTGTCGTGATTGAAAGATGGAATTGTTCACTAAGGATATTACGCGTGGTAAGAGATTAAGCATGTATCGCACTGGACAACTTTGATTTATCTAGAATCATCATACTTTCTTATTTTCCCTTGTTAACAGCACACGCCAAAAGCTTCAAATACAATACAAAAAGCGTTGTGGCCATTCCATGTTCTTATCAGACAGCGTTTGAAATCAATCATTCAATAAGTTTCTTTGTATCTCAAAAGATTTTAAAGTAAAAGATACAATTTTTTTTGCATTAATAAACGACGCAGTTCAATATTTGAGTACTAAGTCCAAAGAATTAAACTCACTTATGTTTTAGGGTGTCGTTAAGGTGTTGCCAAAACAAAACAATAGAAAATAACTGTAAGCCAATTCAAATAGACTATACTTGTATCCCGGTAAGTTATTAAGTTTAGTTAAAAACTATATACTAACAATAGAAATGCGCTAAAGGATTCAACGGCCCGGCATCTACCATTTGGAGAGGCGCCACAATCCCTGTATTTCTCACAGGATCAGCTGCATGTGAATTCGGTGCTGCAGTTGTGGGTACAGGAATGTTTGGTCGCGGAAATGGTTCATAATTCATAACAGCACCGTTGTTAGTATGTTGGGGATAAAACAATTGTTGAAAGCTGTTAAAACCAGCCCCTAACCCTGTTTGGAGAGACATTTTAAAGTTAGTATTAGTAGGTATATGTTAGCTTTTACCATGATACACAATTAATTATTATAATATGATTATTAGTTACAGACTCCATTTCCGCAAATATTACATTCTTTAGATGCAAATGCAAATTAACAATTTGCTGTTTGGTTAACATATGTCTATTCACTAAGATATTGCTGTCTTATGCAGTTCACTTCTTAAACGTCTAACCTTGAAAACCAAATTTGTTACACTCTATACAACTTTGTAAGACCGTGATTGAGGGGACATATGATACCGTTAACTTAAAACAATATTTAAACGTCATGTTCGTATTAAAGTAATGTTATCCAATGATTAACAAGCAATTATCATAGTATTGCAAGCAATCCATAAGTCCCCTACCGGTTAGAACCCCAGCAACTTTCTGATGGGCCATTGGCCAGTCAATTTTACCAGTGAATGAATGACATGAATGAACTTAAATCTTTTGTGTTCTAAGTTTGTCTATATGACAGTAATGTGTTAAGTTTCCCTGCCTAGTTAGGAAATTATGTTTATACAACCTTGTCATATTATTACGATGTGGGATTTTAAAGTAAATCCTATAATGAATGAAGAAGTTGGAGTGAAAAATACCAATTTCTCGAAAAAAATCTAAGTTCAAGGGGGACATAATTCTGGAAATAGTCTTGCTAGAGTATTTAACCTTCTCAAAAATGTTGAGTGATAATAAGAAACATATATATGAAGTTTGAAGTAGATACATTAGGAAATAAAGAAGTTATTTAAAAAAGACAACATTTTTTTCATAAAATTTCTAAGTTCAAGGGAGATAATACTGATAATTTTTGTGCTAGAGTTGTAAACCTTGTCACATATGATGTGGCTGATGACCAGAAACTTATATTTAAAGTTTGAAGTAAACACCTTAAGAAATAAAGAACTTATAGTGAAAAAGCTGAAAAAATTAAATCAGAAATCTTGAAATTCAGGCTATTTGTTGCCATAGCAACCAGAATTTTCAATATAGGAAGAAAAAAAAAGGTGCATAATCTCCATACTGCCATCTATCCATATATCAAGTTTCATAAAAATATTTTCAGTACTTTTTGCGTTATCGCGGGATCCAGTTTATGTGTTCAATTTGCCATATTTTCAGGCTATTTGTTGCCATAGCAACCAGACTTTTCCACATAGGAAGAAAAAAAAAGACGTGCATAATCTCCATACTGCCATCTATCAAGTTTCAAAAAAATATTTTCAGTACATTTTGCGTTATCGCGGGATCCAGTTTATGTGTTCAATTTGCCATATTTTCAGGCTATTTGTTGCCATAGCAACCAGAATTTTCAACATAGGAAGAAAAAAAAAAGGACGTGCATAATCTCCATACTGCCATCTATCCATATATCAAGTTTCATTAAAATATTTTCAGTACATTTTGCGTTATCGCGGGATCCAGTTTTGTGGACGGACGGACTGATGGACTGACAGACAGACAGACTGACAGACGGACAGACAGACAGACGGACAGACGGACGGAGGGTAAACCTAAAGTCCCCTCCGGTTAAACCGGTAGGCGACTTAAAAAAACATATCTTTACAGATAAATGTATGCCATACTTTCATTTATAGTTTTTACATTCATTAATATAAATCTTTTTAATTATGTAAAGAAGCATCCGACCACACATACGACAATGATGCGACATACATCCAAATCTAAATGCACAAAAACATTGACAACAGCACGAGGTGACAAGCAATATCCTCCCGCATAAACGAAATACAACCAAGCTTAAGCGAAAAAGAAGGTAATCTTGGATACGTCAAGTAGCACTGGTCATTTAAGTATGACAGTGTATTAAAGATATTGTTTGTTATCATGTTGCACGCTTTCCTTGAATCTATCCATGATTCAAATGATTTCCTTTTATAAATATCATAAAACACAATTTCTTTAAGATTATCTAACCACAATAACTTTGATATAAATATATATATAGTTGAAATTGCAGACTCATGCTTGGCAACCTTTACTATATGAAATAAAGAAAAATACCCATTCCCTAACTTCTAGAACTAATTTAAGCACAATGCAACTCCAACATATTTGAATTTGCAACTTAAAGTCAAATTTATCAACAATGCGTTTTTATGCTGGGAAAGGTGTAGACGTCAAAAAGCATCGGCACCCGCAATACAAAGCTATTTATCATTATAATGAACAGGCAAGAAATTAAGATCGAATCAAGTTGACATCCAGACTTTGAAACCGATTTTAATATCTATGTTATATCATTCCAGTTTAATTTAAGATATGTCAGAAAAAGTTAATTTACTACTTTATTTACTCGAATATCATATATTTTCGCTAGGCAAAAATTATGCGAACTAAAATTTCCGGACTAATAAGCGAGGTTTAATATTCCCGAATTTTTATTTTTCACTGTTCAATTTAAATGATAGTCTAATGCGAAAGGTTCATGTATTTCATCAAAATCTTCCACTTCCAAAATTTAATACCTTGCTAAATTTTCTGATTATACAGTATCCATATCGTGAAGCAAAGCTTTTCATCTTTGATATTAATTTTATTTCCATAAACCGCATAGCAAAAAGTGGATTAGTAAAGTGAATCCATATATCTAACTATCAATAATATATTATCTAAAGCAGAATGAGAAAATATTAATAGCTCCGTGACATAGAACAAAGATTTACGTTACTTGGTCATGCAACATACAAACTTTACCTTGCTCTGGATGATAATGAGGTACTTCGTGTTGATGCTGAAGTTGATGATGAATTCCACCTACAAAAGTTTATCATATTGTCAATGTTAAAATGATGCACTTTAATAAACGGCGAATTATATTTTGCAAAGAATGATTCTTTAGTATGATATGACACAACTAAATGGAACAAATAAATAAACAACATATGTTTACATTTTAAGCATGTAAGGCTACAATGTGGTTTATGATAAAGACTTTTCTATAATAAATAGGAATTAAGTAAACACTATTTCAAACTGCAATGTATTATATAATAAAAATAACCAAAGCTTAGAATAGTTAACAAGTAAAGTAGATACGTTTTAATGACAGACCGAAGAGAAAAAAACCCAAAAAAATCAATATTTTTCATATGGTAATATATAATTATATTACTTTTGTGAACAGTAATTCAATAACAAGTCAATGCAGTTTATGTCCAGTCATCTTTATGTCATAACATCTTGCGAAATTTGAATTATTTTGAGTGAGATATTGAATATGAAGTTCAGTACTAATGGAATTTTAAAACTATGAACTCTACAGGTTTAAATATATATTTATAATTGTACTGAAAAACGCCAGTGGAGGCCATGATGACTATAGAAATGAGACTAACCAAAGATTTGAATGTCCGTACATTTTGATCTTTGCAGACTGCAGTCAAATAATTGAAAAAAAATAGATTTCAGTAGAGAAAAAAACATGAATTACAAACTTATTATTTGGGTCTGGTTTTTTTTTTGCCTTCAACTTTTCTACTATTTTGACGTATTAGAAACAAAAACAGAAAAACGAGCTGTTAATATTTCAAACTAAAAATATCGGACAACCGATTGTGCTATAATTAATATCAAAAGTAAGTTGACAAACAAGGTCAATTTAAACAGTTAGTACACAGATAACACGATGAAATGTTAACTTGAAGAACAACTAGTCACACTTACCAGGATTATGTAGAGGGTGTGGCCGAGCAGGAAGTCTTCCAATTCTCATCTGACGTTGATAAAAGGGCAAAAGATTTCCTTGTAAGTCAACTTGGTGAGCTTGAACCTCTGGCAAACCTTGCATGACTGAAATTAAAGAGTGATCAAATTACGAACATTTCTTTTTCATACAGATTAAAATAACGCATTTACCGGTAATTATGATGTTTGTTTGTTTCGTTACACATACTTTGTTTTAAATATACTGACCTTTAGTATTATCCTGAATTTAAACATGTATATTAAAAATCACATTGATATGCAACATTTTACGTTTTAACATTGTGATTGTACCGCAACGAATATGAAACATATTTTAGTTTTCAAAGATCAGCCATATCGACAACATTTGTATTTTTATATTGTATATTTCACAGTATGTTTATCTCGACATTTCGTTATCTCGATATTTTTGGATGATCCCTATGTCCTCGAGATAAAGAGAAACGAACGACTGTATATGTTTCATCCTATAGCAATACCAAATTAATGGAACGGAATTTATTGAACACATTGAAGCATCGAGCCGAACACAATATAGTAACCAAGACCATAATGATACAATATTCAAGTCATACTACCACGGCCTTTACTATTAAATACAGAATAATGTAAATTTACAAATATAATCATAAACTTAAGATACCCCCCGCGCCAAAGACGCACACCAAAACACCAAAATACACACCATAAAAGCAAAGCAAATCATAAACTAAAAGATTATATGTTATTTATTACCTCTCGCCTCATTTATATCAGCCAAAAGATCAGGATCAGGAGTTGGTCTTACAGTTGTTGTTCGTAATCTTCTGTTTACTGCAATATAATTATTATCAAAAAGTATATTTTCCTTACAAACTCATCCAACGCGTTTCCGATTTTGTAAAAATAGTATGACACTGTCTTACATATATTTACCGTGAAGTAAAATGTGTTATAAAACAAAGCGTAGATACAATTTAAATATTATTGTGATAGTATTTGAATATCAATTTCTGTAAATTGTTCCTATTTTGGGAATGAAATAAAAGGAATTAAAACATGTATATACGTTTAAAAATGTATTGCCCTGGTTGAATAGAATTATGTGCTCCTAAAGGATTGCATAACAGAATTGTATTCAACCAGTTTAATAAATTCAGTATTGAATCTACACTCATGTAAAATTTTCTTTTTACTGTAACGTCTAATTATATATTTATCAATATTTACATCTCCAATATTTATGTTACGTTAAAAAACATGCAATTTTTGTCTGATAGAGGTAGGTCAAACTACATATATGTATCACCTCAGGCGGTCCTTTGTACATTAATTCAAGCCAGAGCGGGACCCAAGTCAATGGACTTCATCTATTTGTCAAAGGGTATTTACCTGGCTTTTGCCCACGTGTAATGACGTTGGTATTCAATCCCGCAAATCCTGTATTCTCTGCGGGGGGAGTTGCTCCACCTTGTTGTAACGTCATGTTAGAGTTTCCACCTGAAGTTGCATTTGTATCTAACGGATATGCTAAAGATTCGGGATGCGACAAGGTGACAAGTTTCACGAGGGTAGGATCGTTTGCAGCTGCTGTTGTTTGAACAATTGGATACACAGGAGTTGTTGGTTTTATGTAATCAGTTTTCTTTCTTGGACCAAATTTTGCATTTGGTGATTTTGCGTATGATTCCTTTGCAGCTTTTGATTTTGATAAACTTTTCTTGGGTTGTGCTGCTTTTGTTGTTGGCGCTACTAGTGGTTGTCGTGGGCTTTGATGTTGGCGCTTTGTTATAAAACAGTTTTAGTTGTTATTTCCAGGGTCTAGTAGTGGTTTAGCTCCTGGCCAGCTTAAGTTTGACTCAAACAGCAGAATAAAAAAATACCAATAAACATATCAATGTTTGTGCTAATATTTCTCAGTCAATTCTGGGACCGTGTAATCGGTCACTGCATCGATCACAAGTAACGTCTTCAATAATTCTGATATAGCAAAGAGAAAAAGTGGTTTAGAATGCCTAAGAAGTACTAACTAATTTTCTTCGAAACAATTTTGTATGAACATAATAGACTACAGTTGGTGAGATTCTAATTTCGTCCATGTACTTCATACAAACACCACATTATTCGTTTGATTTCTAGATTAATATTTAATACAACCTATTTCTTAACAAAACAGAGATTATTTTAAAAGGTATTGTTGTACAACTGTCACATATGCAATTGAAAAAAGATAAAATATATGGTACTATTTAAAAAAAAAACATTTTGTGATAAGATATGCTTGATTTTAACGCTATGACAGACTTCAGCAGATAGTCGGAAACATTGAATTATTAATCAGAAACATACGATTACATGTGTAGTGATGATAAAAGTGATTACGAATGAATTGAGATGATAAAAGATAACAGAGATTAGGATATTATGATAAATCATGTTTTGAAAAATATTGCATCTGTAAGAAAAATGCATGTTAATAACTGAATAAGAATTACGCAAGTATGAGCCCAGGGCAATTAAAATTGCAACCAGTATGTGAAAGTTTGGCCCCCTATCCCGAGACATAGATGAAAAATTGCGCACATGCAAACTTGTAAAGGCCTTACGCAGCTCAGCTGAGATGAGAACCGACACTCACAAATATAATAACATGCGGTTTTCTTGTACAAGAAACCTTGTAAACAATGAAGACTGATAAAAATAAAGTTGTAAATAAATCCTATTTTTTCCATTTATTTATTACCTTCAAACAATGCAGTTTTGTCTACAGACTTTGTAACTGGTCCAGGTCTCTTTTTTGAAGTGTACTTCTTAGACGGTTGTTTTGTCTGTACAGGTTTAGCTGGAAAAGATATGAAGCTTATTAAATTTTACATTTTCTTTCACAACATCGTTAATTTCCTGAATAAGGAAAACTGTCGCATAAAATTGTACTTAACGAAATGAAATTCCGCTCGCACATGCACGGTGGTCCCGCTAGGGCCATCGTGACACACAAATAAGTTGAAACAACGAAGACACGAAAATACGATGGTGAAAATTGCAAATAACGAAACCACGATGGTAAAAAGTTGAAGATAAGATTATGAAAAGTCAAAAGTACGGTGGTGAAAAGTCGAAATAGCGAAGCCATGATGGTACAAATTCATAGATACGATGATGAAAAGTCGAAAGAACGATGATGAAAGGTTTCGACTTTTTACCATCGTAATGTCAGCTTTTCACTATTATGCCTTCGACTTTCCACCATCGTGGTTTTGTTATGTCGTCTTTTCACCATCATATATTCGTGTTTACGTTGTTTCAAGTTATGTGTATGTCGCGATGATCCTAACGGGACACTGTACACATGAGTTTACATATGTAATGAAAGCAGAGTTTAAAAAAATCTGTCCGTTGTCTGTAAGAACATTTTATTGTACATGGATATATCGTGGCCAAAGATTATTTTTATCTTAAATATTTACGTATAGATAAGGATCTAATAGTTTCACTGCATTTTAACATATTGTTTACTTTTAATTTGTTCGTCACATTTTATAACATTCGCCTAATGCATTTAGGTAGTAATATATGTATGGTTCTAGTGTTTCAAATCAATTAGTGTCTACCTGTTGGTTTAGCTGTTGTCGTGGGTGTATCAGCTCCAAACTTTGCATTATACCAAGCGTTAAACATTGATGAAAATTTCGCTGTAAATAAAGTATCTCAAGTTATGCTTAAGCACAAATGATAGGCAGTAAGCGAAATCAAATGATAATGGAATATTTACTGCTAAGACAGACATGTACAAAGGCTAAATTTTTAAAAAAAATTAATTACAATCAAAGTCTGTCTTTACTGAGCTTCAGGATAGATCGTGTTGGCGTTGTTTTGATTCGATTACTTCAAACTGACTACAGAAATTGGTAAATCATTTAATATCAATTTGTTGTATTTTGTTAATTTCGATTAAGAAGTGTATATACATGACAAATTTAATTCACGTTTTACATATAAACAAATGATAAACATTTTGTGCCAGAAAATGTATCTGGTTTGAATAATAGCAACCGGTTTCAGATTGATAAAGCGCAAATTACCTTGCATTTCTGGAGGAGGACCATTATTACCATTGGCTGGTTTTGGTTCATGAGGTTCTTGGTGCGTGTGCGCATGTGCGTGGCTATGATCATTTGGAGCATGCTCATGACCATGTCCATGTTCGTGTGCTGCATCTGCACCACCACTAATAAGAGCTTGAAATTCTAAACCTGCTTCTGCATTCAAGGCTTCTTTAGGACTTTCGCCTAATTCCAATGTGTTAGCTGCATTTTTTTCATGGTTGACAGCTTTTGATTTTACATATGGCTTTGGTTTGGATTTATTCGCAATCTTCGGCTTGACAATTGGTTTTGGTGTTGTTTTGGCTATTTTCTTTTCTTTAGGAACTTGATTGTTTTTAGTCTTTGCTGGTTTTGCACTTTTGCCTGGTGTTGAAGTTGTAGCTGGAATTGGTTTCTCATTATATTTTGCTGGAGTTTCGTTATTCTTTTTCACCTTTTTACCAGGAGTTGGAGAGACACCGCCAGAATATCGAGATTTAGAATTTGTTTTAGGTTGCACTGTTTCTTGTTGATTTTGAAACATTTCTTCTTGGAGTGGTGGTGGCGGTGGTGGGCGTCGTCTTGGCGCTAAGACACAAGTTTACGATTGTCAATAAATGAATAAATTGTTATAATTTTAATATCTGAGTACTAATATAAATCAGAAACACCTATCTCTAACATCATGCAAATGTTTAGACATTTTAGTAATCGGTTATTTTAAAGTGTTGTATATAAATATTTAGATACGTTCAAAGTTAGTGTTTTAGTAGATGTTAATCGATAACCATGCATTTGTACAATATGTTCAATTCTGGCAGGATATGAACTTTGCCTTTTCAAAATCTGTCTGATGACAGCGGGCTCCAAATTTTACAGTGCTTGATAGTTGAAAACAAAAATGGGGCAAAGATTGGCAAATTTTCCGAGACGAAAATAGGAAATAATTAAACAAAATATAGAATTTAAGTTCAAATTGAAAAAAGTACTCCAAACGTCAAGTGAATACCTATAATTGTTGTTTGAGAAGTAAACCTTAACGTTTAAAGATAATAAAGAAATGCAAAGTCAAAGAAGGGGGCATACAGAGAACAAAATAATTAATTTATGAAGAAATGGCTCAAGTTTGAAGTGATAAACTTTGACAAATGTTTGCAAAATGACCATAGAAACAAAATTAAAGTTAAAAAGGACAAGAATTTTAAGTTTATCAACTCCTCTGAACTGGTAACATAATTCATTGTGAACATGTATGTCAAGTCTGCACCGAATAACTTTGAGAAAACTGATCTTAACAGAAGGGTTAGCCGGTTCTTAAAATATAAAATGACTTTGCATAAAATTAATTTCGGATTATCTGACCTTTTGAAATAGCGTCCTTTTATTGTTTTGAAGTGAATAGCTTTTATGCTTTCTGGATAAAATGGAACTTAACGAAACTGTTTACCAACCCTGAGGCCCACGCCGACAAAAGCTAATAAAAAGAGTATGTGAAACTATAACAAGCCTAGAAACAGGCTATATAAAGTGGTAATCATCTCTTATAGTAAGATTTCTTTTCAAAATGAAATATTTTGGAACAAAACACTGTTTGCAACAACTACATAAAAGGCAGATTTGTATCGCCCACCTAAAATATCGATGTAACAAAACATTCTTTGTATTCAAAATCAAAATTGACAAAGATTGGAAAAGCTGCATTTAAACCTTTACTCTGCTAGTTTGTTAAACAGAATGATTTTTCCTAGTACTTTAAAGCTAATTCAAGGAATTTCAATATCAAAAATGAAAAATGTCTTCAAACTGTTTGGATTCTCTATTTAGCAAATCTGATGTTCTGTTAGACTGGTCTGATTTAGACCAGTGTCATAAACAGGCAACTGTTCATTTGTGATGTTGAAAATTAAATTATAGATGCCATCAACATATAATGCTCCGGCTTTCTAAATGATTTGCAGCCTGACTATGCTATATATGAATAATAAGGCAATGTAAATAAGTAAAATAAAAACCCATGCGTTATTGAAAAGTGTTAAAATAACAAATCAAGTAGAAAAATTTCAAAATGAGAAAATAATCAATATCATTGAAATAGGTAATTTTAAAAGGCATTCGCTGTTCTTTATACTTAATTACTTCTATTCAACAAAAAGCAATGCCAAAGACGACCGGCTGAACAATAATTCAGTTTTTCATTGTATTTCTTTATACATGTATATGAATCACAAAGTATCTTATGCAGTAAGAACAGATACAGGGTTTTAATGATTATAAAACAGATGGCCTTTATTGATGGTTAATTTATTGACTCTCGTCTTGCAAAAAAGACTGACGCATAATTCTCGCCAAAAGGTTCGCTTTTTTATGCGCTAAAATTTTTCTTTTATATATGGCTTGTATTGTGTTTTTAAACTTGAAAGAGACAAACCGAAATTTTTTAAACGGTTTTTATTTAGAAAAATTTCACATTTTTGTACAATTTTCAACCGTTAGATAGAACACATTTGAAATCCACCTTAAGAATCTATGCCAGGAAAAGTACAGTATTCTTTATCTTTTAACAATAGTTGGAAACCGAATATCGTTTTAAATGCCTGTGAAAAATACATGAACTTTTGTATAGATTTAACAGTGAATTAGAAAGTAATTATTTCATATTCATACCAGGATCATCTACTGCTGACAAACGGTGCCTTGAAAAAACCTGTCTTACACCCCTATAAAAGACGCGTGTTCTTAAATGACGTCATTCCCATTGCGCTTATTTATGAAATGAATTGCGTTCTTAGGATGACGTCATTTTGCTGTTTTGAATGAAGTTGTAAATGTATACGCTTCTATACGAATCAAGTCCTTATGATAAATATTACTTTTCGTAATTTCTTTTCGAAATACGATTGATATAATATGCAAGAAAAATAATCAAACAGAGGCTGTTGTTACAGACGGGAATATCTATCTCTAGAGTAAATGAAACAGATATTCCTGTCCGTACCGGCAGCCGGTGTAAGATTCTTATATTATTGCATCGGACAAATGTGTTTGGTTTATTTTGGTCAAAATATGCACCACAGAGAAGATTTATAAGACGATCTTTTCAAAAAACCCCCCAATTTGGAGACTTTTTTTTAAATTATCTTTTTATTTTTCAAACCCCGTTTAAATGTTTATTTTAAAAACTGTTAAAACAAATTTTGATTTTTCTCCCCCACCAATTTTAAAAAATGAAAATTTTAAATTAAAATTTTGATTTTTAAATCATAAACTTTTCACTGATATTTTTGTACTATATTTAGCAAATTTCCTTATTCATTGTCAATTATTTGAAATGAAACCATAAATCAAAAACAACAACTGTGAATATAAATCAGGAGTATTTTTTTGTTAAATATATACAAAATTTTTTAAAATGAAAATTTTTTTTTGTTTTTTTTACCATACTATTTTTTGTACTTAAACATTGTTTGGGTTTTAATTTTACGCATTTTAACGTAAAATTTCGATTCAGGGTGTTTAAAATTTTAAAAAAATTTGCAGGACTTGATGCAGTTTTTGGTTTTCTAACATACTGCGCCCCTCCCCCTAAAAAATAAATAAATAAATAAATAAATATTAAATAAAAATAAACCCCAAAAACAATTTGGGAACCCCAAATTTTAAATTTAGTTTCTTGGGGGATAAATTGTTTAAACTGGGATTGCGTTTTGATATTAAAAATTTTTTTCGTGATTATTTTATAGAAAGTTTTAGTTTTGGGTTTTTTGTTTTTATTTTTATAGTATTTTGTTAAAGCAAAGGGAACACAATTGATTCCTTTTTAAAAATATTGAATTTTTTTCAATTTTTTTATTTTTAAATTTTTTACCCGACCCATAAATAACGTTGCTGCCCAAGATTTTTTAGAAATAATTTTTAAAAAAAACTTTTTGGCCAAGTTTTAAAATTTAGTATTATTTTTAGATTAAAAAAAACATCAATTACATTATTAATTTGTAACTTTTTTTTTAGTTTTTTGTTAATTTTTTTTTTCTTTCTGGGTTACCAGGGTTTGAATTTTTTCCTTTGGTGGGTTTAGGATGGGTAAAACCCCTTTTTTTGGTTAAAATATTCCATTTAAAGGATGGGCCTTTTTTGCATGTCTTTTTGAAGTCTTTTTTATCATTTTGCATTTTCGTTGTATTTTACGATCAATTTTAAAAAAAAATTTAGGGTTTTTTGGGGGCTTTGATACTTTTTTAATTTTTTTTATTTAAACCCTGAAGTAACGGAATTATTTTAAAGTGAAAAAAATTTTTTTAACATGGGTTTCCCGTTTTAAAAGAATGTTTTGAAAGCCCCCAGTTTTTCGATTTAAAGTGAATAAAAGGCAAAAAATAATGGTTGTTTTTTGAACTAAACTCGATAGTTAAATTCTATTTACGTGCAAATTTAGTTTTATCCCCGGGCTTTGTTATTTTTTTTAAACGTCAAATACAAAAACCAAAAACGATTTTCAAAATTTTAGTTTTGGGTTTTTGTAAAACCTTAGCAAATTTTTTTTGTAAAAACATTTTGGGACGTTTTTAAAATTGTGGCCCAATTTTTTAAAAAATTTTCAAGTCCAGAATATTCTTTAAAAACCCGTTACATATTTCAATGAAGCTGTTTTATTTTTTGGGAATTTATAACGGTTTTTGTTTGTATCAACTTAAGACATTTATTGGGGATTTTCCCTAACTTTTAAATCTTTTTTTTTAGATGAGTTTTTCTTATTTTTCCCTTTTCCCCCTTCAAAATGATTTTTTTGGAACCAAAAATTTATTAATGATCATTTTAATCATTTTGGGACTTTAAAAAATTTTTAATTTTTACAAAAATGACCAAACCTCCCCTTTTTAAAACTAATTTTTAAAAAAAATTTACATTTGTAAAACGTTTTCAAAAGTATTGGGTGTGCTTGCGAAAATGACCTTTTAAAGTCTTAAATCATTACTTTGAACATAAAATTTTAATTGATTATTATTTCAAATATTTTAATTTTTAAGTATCAACAAAATTTAGGAATTTATATATTGCCATTTAGATTTAAAGAATACAGTTAAACACAAAATAACAAAAAGGGCGACTTTTTAGGGCCCTCGACACGTTTTTTAAGTTCCGGGATTATCTGAAAGTTACCAAAAGAAACACAAAAAGATCCCTCTGAAAGAATAGTTGAAACAGACATTTTTTGTTGATACATCGTCGTACATACAGGATCTATATAAAATAGCTGGCTTCTCTTATTATCTGAGAATTTAATTGTATCGCCAGTAAAAAGCAAAATGTTACATTACTTATGCGAAATACTTAACACGAGAGGTTTTTTTTACATTTTTAAGATCGATATTTTATGTTGTTGAAACCTACTTATCTAAAAATCAGCAAACAATAATTGTTCAACGTTTTCATTTCAAAATATAGAATCGGCCCAAGTAACCAATCTACTTTGTTTGCCTTTTATTCATGATCTTGTCAACATAAGAATGTCATTTCCAACGAGACAGAGAATCAATATCCTCGCAACATATTTTAAAGATAATTCTTATATTAAAATTATCTCATTCTAA